GGCCTGCTGGGCTCTTGTGTGGACCAGGAGAACCAACGCCGACTCGCTGGCAGCTCTCGTTCGACAAGGAGCGCCGCTCGCCAAACGTTTTCCTCGCGGCAGACCCAGGGTGTCTCCCCGAAGGCAGGGTCCCGGGGGTCCTTGGCATGCCACGGGCCCCGCAGCCGCCCCGACGCCATCACGCGGCGGGGCCACGCCGCAATGCTCCCGACGGGGCCCCGGGGAACGCCGCGGGCGGACGCCGTCCGCGGGAACGCGCGTCTGCCCGTCCCAATTGCCCGAACGCGCCTCCAGCCAAGCCCCAACCGCCAACGCGGGGGCCCACAGGGGGGGGAAGAGTGGGCCATGACAGGCTCGGAGCCCGCCGGCGGCGGTACACGGCGCCCGCAAAAGGACCCTCCCTCGGTCGCAGGGCGGAGTTCGCGTTGCGGAGCGCCCCGGGCCTGAATGCAGCCCCGCTTCTCGTGGGCAGCCGGAGGCCCCCCGGGCCACTCGTGCGCTCCCCTGCCAGAGGCTGCCCGCAGACGGTGTTCTCCGAAAGCCGGCCGCCGTCACGCGAATCCGTGAATAGATGCCCGAGGGGCAGCTCTGCGACTAGTTGCTTTTCTCTGTCGAGTTGCTATACATGAGCAACTGCATTAACACGCATAGATTGAATCGTCCGCTGGGCTCCAAATAGTTCCCTCGTTGTTTGTTTTTGGTTTCGGAATTGTTTAGAAGGATCTTGCTCAAGAGCCCATCATTATACTTATCGGGAATCATAATCTTTGGTAGCGTATAGAACCTCAGTATCTCCGAACTAGGCATAAGCATTGATGCCTTCGTAGTCCCCTCTTGAACAAGTTAGATTGCTCAACACAATGCCGTGTTGAGGCAATCTAACTTGGCGCGTGAGGCGCGCGTGTTTCTTTCTGTGTGTGTGTGTGTGCGCGCGCGCGTGTGCGTGTGAGAGAGAGGGAGAGGGATCGGAATGCATTAATGCACACGTTTTTGAAGCGATTGATAGCTGCTTTGCTTTACACTTAGTGCTTGAAGTCATTACAGGGCCTTCTTTCTGGAACACGAAAGGCGAAATAACAAAAAGAAACACACACACAGACACGCGCACGCACGCGCGCGCACGCACACACACACACACACACAAACACACACACACACACACACAGCAGGGACAATACATAGACAACCACACCCCTTGAAAGACAATTAGTTGTCAATGTTACCTCTGTTACGCGTTTTTATACTTTTCCGTTGGGGTTTTCCTTGACAACACGCTTATCCCATCTGTACCTATCCAAGTCCGTCTTGACTATTTTTTTTATTGTTTTACTTGTGTATCGTATAAAGTGGCGTGATTCATCCCCCCACCCCCTCCTCCCCTTCCCTACGCCTGCCAATTTTGATTTTTTCCCAGCTACTCACGAGTCACTCCGCCCACACTGACATTGGTTCATTTGTCGCCGTTCCTCAAACAACACACCTAACTCCGCCATCACTTCAGTCGCCGTTCCTCGGCGGAGCTGAACCGCAAAGGACGTGGTCACACCACGATGCGTGCCGTCGTAGAGGTCGCTTCTATGTTTCTCCCTTGAGTGAAGCGTAATCATCGGCAAAATTCCTAGTTCGTGACAGAATCATCACTGAAACGTTTGACACGCTTCAATGTCGCCAAAGGACAGATTTTGGACAGGTTGGAAAGCCTCTTGGTCAGACTTTGTTTATCGCTACATGCTCTGAGCGTTTTCCCGAATGCCTGTTTTCGACGCTATTGAGGTTGCGCGTGGGCAGACGACGATGCGCGAGTGTTCTGCCGCATTGGACAGCTTATTAACTTTATTGTGTCAACTGCTCGTGCGCTTTGGCGACACGGAAAATGTCAAACGCCCGAGCGGCACGAGATGAGCTTTCTCTTCTAGAATTCAAGCGGCGATAAAGGTACAGGAATTTTATCTGTTGAGTTGTGGCCCACTGGCTACCTATGCGCGGAGAGCAAGTCGTCTGCTTTTGCGCAGGGGTTGCGCTGACGTCAGAACGACGCCGAGCTTTGATTGGCTTCGATTGGAAGGATAGTCGGTGGACTTCAATGCTAGAGGCCTGGAGGTCTACCCACTATTTTTTTTTTTTTTCAAACAGCCAATGAGAGCTCGGCTTTCTGACATCATCGCAACCCCTGTGCAAGAAGCAGACGAACTTGCGCTCCGCATACTGCTGGAGCAGTTTCGGAACCACTGTTCCTTATTTTCTTTTTGGTGCAAGAGCATCGTTTTGTTTTTCATCAAGAAAAGACCCTTTCAAACGAAATTTAGCCCAGAAATGATATCGGGGGGATAGAAATCGTTTGTTTTTAGATCTGGACGAGACAGTTTTGTCGAGTTGCAGTTTTATTTACCTTGAAAGTAGCAATCTCCCTGCTCGTACATTCTACAAAAGACACACGGTGTTCGCCGCGGACGCGATGACAGAATTAATTGCGAATGCGCCTCAAGCATCTTCGAACTTGTTTCAAAGACATGAATGCTTGGAACATGCCTGCATACAGTCTTTGTACGACCAATGTGACCGTCGTACAAGGAAGACATCATACAGCTTCTGCAGACAATCTTCTTTTGTCTCAAATATTAGCAGTGGAACCGTGGCTTAAAGAGACCCCGGGGATCAAATATGGAAGAAACAAAATGAAAAAAAAAGTAACTATAGAGTGGTCGAAACATAAAAGTGCCCACAAGAAAACTTTTTTTTTTAAATTTTAGCTTAAACAATATAATTACATTGTTCGCTGCATTGGCCTCTGTCATTGCCTTTGACCGCGTGGTCTGGCATAGAGTTCCATTGAGACTGTTTTTATAAATAGCTCATTTTTGAAGTAAGATGGGATAAACTTTCAAGAGGCGCTCATGGCGGTTGGAATTGTATAGCGTTTTGTGCGAATATTTGAATTTTTCGAATTGTATAGGTTTTGAATAATAAGCTATTCGATGTTCGCTTCGAGATGAGCCGCGATATTCTTATTTTTTAAAGTGTCGATTGCGGCAGGTTAGCCCCGTTGAGCGCTTCTTACCGCACCCCGATGCACTGCTGGAAAACAACACCCGCGAAGCTCGCCTACGAGTGTGTGGCTTCTCCACAGCGCACCAGTGCTTGGTAAGAAGCGCACTCAACAGGGCTAACCCGCCGCAATCGGCACACTGAAAAGTAGAAATGTCGCAGCCGCGTGCTTCACACCAAAGCTAATTTGCAAAGCGGGACGGTACACGCGCGCTGCTGGTGTATTTAAAAAGAAACGAAAACCCTGTGAATGTTGATATCTACATTGCAGTGCTATTTTAAAAATTAAACTGGCAGAAATAAGTATATGTTAATCAAGCAGAGATGCCAATTGACCTTTGACGTCTGTGTTAATCAGGGGTGATTGAAGAAGATCTGTGTGCATATAGCAAAAATTTTGATAAATCCATTTGATTAGATATAGCTGGGAATCTTTATGGGTTTAATGTTAGGTCAAATGTTTCGTTTACTTGCCATCCCAACGTAGGCATTGGACTTTCGGAGGCCACAGTCGATGAATATAGTTTGGTTAAATATTAACTTATTTTAGAAATGGACAAGTCGAAGCTTGGCAACAACCTTCATAAGTTCATCTGGGTTTTCGTTTAAGCATGTTGCATTAATGAAAGGTTTAGAATCTATCCAATATTCGATTCGAAAATACTCGCCTAAAGCCACTATTCGCTGTGAATTCGCTTCGAACTCAAAATCCACTATTCGCAAATCTCTAGTCATATTGCCACGAGCGTCGCCGAGCGAGTGCGTGCGTGGCCGAATGGTTACCGTGCTTGGCTTTCGCGCGGAGGTCCCAGGTTCGGTTCTTGTGAGCGGAAGCGTCTTTCATCTATTCTTTTAATTTAACGTTCTCGTAAGTTCCAGAACCTTGTCGTCTGATCGAGGTACGAAAGGTTCTACGTGCCGAACGTTCCACGCCGTATGTTCCAGAGACCCACATGGGTATATAAGGGACTCCGTATGGCGAGCCGGGTTCAGTCTCGCCCCAGCGCTGGATCCTGCTGTTTCGCGGCCATCGACGCCTGCGACGCTAACCTCCTCCTGTTTTGTCTTGGGCACAAGCTCGCCCCATCAAACGTTTAGTTTGTCAAGTTATTCGCCACCTCAAAAATTGTCATTCTTGACAGGTTACTGATTTCAGGTGTGATAATGGTATTCTGTCCGCTAGTAATCTTAGACCGAGATTGCGTTTGCCGGTTCTAACACCAGAGGAACCACTAACAATGACGCGGGAAGTATCGTTATGGTTAAAAAAAAGGGTTCAGCTCGTAGATTTGATGATGACACCAAATGAAGTCAGCGGTTTCTAGTATAGTCTAGTGTAGTCTGATCTAATTTCTCCAACATACACGGCCTCCTTTTGCCATTAATGACTGTTGAGTTCAGAAAGTTTACAAAGCCGGTTGGGGGACACTATCGAAATCCTTTACGTCGTCGATGGGAATATAAACGACTCTGACCTAGATGTAATGGAGCTTTCTCCAGATCTGGGCATGCGTACACCTTCTTCCCTGACCCTTACTACCCGCTGTGGCTACTTTCGCAGAGCACCGTTCCGCACGATCAAACTTTTCAGCACCCATATTTACGCGTTAGTTAGACATCTGGAAGATACATAGAAAGGGAGGACGGACAACGAAGACTTCCATGTCCGTCCTCCCTTTCTATGTATCTTCCTCATGTCTAATTACCGTTACCAACACGCTCGTTTTGTACTTATTTACGCGTTATTTGTCTTTTTTAATGATTTTTATTTTAGCATCGGTAGTATAGGGCATAAGAAGCAATGGAGACCGATACAACGGCACGACGCCAATGTGTTCTGATTGGCGGAGGCACGTTGTGCTGCCGTTCATTTGTAGCTCACAAACAGCCCCCCCCCCCCCCCCCCCCAGACAGCGCTTGTTACTCAAGAAAGGTCCTTTGTGTCATGTAGTGACAAGGTATATTTGTTGTTATCGCTGTCAGCGCCTATCACCAACGCAAGCCGCGTTCGCTTATCATAACATGCGCAGTGTATATAAACGCTCATACGGAAATAAACTGTTGTTCTGTTCCCACCGCGCTGTCTGAAGGATCTATTACATTGGCGACGAGGCGAATCGACGGACGGGCGAGTCCCGGTCGAGTAAGGCAAGATGTCGGTCGGCAGGATCGGCGAATATCGTCTCGGCGCGAATGCGTCCTGGGATGAATACGTCGAACGGCTAGAGATGTTCTGCGCTGCAAACAAGATAACCACGGACGAGCAAAAACGAGCGGTTCTGCTGAGTTGTTGCGGCGAGGACACTTACGGGTTGATCGTGACCTTGGTCAAGCCAGCAAGACCGACGGCGGCGAGCTACGACGACATCAAGGGGGCGGTGCGGAAGCACATGCATCCAAGGCCTTCGGAGCTGTACGCAAGATTCTTATTCTACCGAAGAAACCAAGCTCAGGGTGAGGCGGCGTCGGAGTATGTTACGGCACTCCGTAAGCTGGCTGAAGACTGCGGTTTCGGTGACAAACAGCTTCCACTGGACGTCATGATGAGGGACCGGTTCGTATGCGGCATCAAGAATGAAGTGGTTCAACAGCGGCTGCTCGCAGAACGCGACCTGACGTTCGAGGTGGCGTACGACATGACGCTGACGGCGGAAGCAACGGAGAAGCAGCAGCGCGATATACGCAAGCAAGCTCAAGACGGAACCAAAGAAAGCGAGGGTCTGGTTCAAGCGACACGCATGAAACTGGACACCAAGGCGGACGACGTCAGCTGCTTCCGCTGCAACGGTAAGCACGCTCCGCATGTATGCCGTTTTAGAAAGGCTGCTTGTTTCAAATGCAAAAAGGTTGGACACGTGGCAAAAGCTTGTCGTTCAAAAGACGAGAATCGGACGCCGCGGAAGCCAACTGACCTGCGCAAGCGGGAAGAAAAAAACAAGGGCGTCTATGAAATGAGCGCATTGTTTTCTGTATGCGAAGTGCGTGAACAGGCTGAAAAGTTCATGGTAGAAGTGCACATTCAAGGAGAGAAAGTTCCGATGGAAGTCGATTCAGGAGCATCTTGCTCGATTGTGAGTGAAGAGACGTTTCGGTTGATCGAGAAGAATCGAGGCCAGATACCGCTGCAAGAAGCAGGCACAAAGCTTGTAACCTGGTCGAATGAATCATTGTCCGTGGTGGGTCGGGCAAACGTGGAAGTGAAATTCAAAGGCTGTAGAGCAGAGCTACCTTTGTTAGTAATAAAGAAGCGTGGTAACAGTTTACTCGGACGTAGCTGGTTTGAGTCGCTGGGCATCCGTTTGAGTGGAATTCGGCAGATCAAGGTGGAGGACGTGACATCGCGTTTTGCTGAGGTTTTCGGCAGTGACCTGCCTGGATTCAACGGACCGCCAGTTCACATAGAGCTTCAAGAGGACGCCCGCCCGGTGTTTCTCAAGAGTCATCCTGTCCCGCTGGCCCTCAAGGACGACGTGGCCAAGGAAGTGGATCGCCTGGTGCAACAAGGCGTCTGGGAGCCGGTTGAGTACTCAAACTGGGCGACACCGCTAAAAGTGGTGAGAAAAAAAAAACGGAACCTTGCGTTTATGTGGGGATTACCGTAATACCGTAAACAAGGCTATTAAAAGCAGCGGGTATCCTTTGCCCACGACCGCGGAAATGCTAGCGACCTTGGGGTCGAGTAAAATTTTTACCAAGCTCGACTTAACTCAGGCGTATCAACAGCTCAGCCTAGATGATGAATCAGCAGAAATGCTGACCGTCAACACGATTAAAGGGCTATGCAAGGTCCGGCGGCTGCCGTTTGGAATCTCGGTGGCTCCGTGGGTGTTTCAGCGAGTCATCGACACGTTATTGGCAGGGATTCCGGGGGTGAAGGCTTATCTCGATGATATCTTGATATCGGGAAGCAACGCAGACGAACACTCGGAAAGGCTTGCAGCCGTGCTGGCGCGTCTGCAAAGAGCGCAGCTAAGAGTAAACAAAGAAAAGTGTGAATTCAGTCAAGCAAGCATTGAATTCCTGGGACATAGAATCGATGCCGCAGGTATCCACCCGAGCCAGACCAAGACGGACGCCATTCAGCAAGCGCCACCGCCGACAAGCAGGAAGCAGCTTCAAGCTTTCTTGGGGTTGTTAAATTTCTACGCCAGTTTCCTCAAGGGGAAGACAGAAGTGGCGGAACCCCTTCATCGGCTTTTGGACCACGAGCAAGAATGGAAATGGACAGGTGAGCACCAGCGGGCGTTTGAAAAGCTGAAGAAGTTGCTTAGCTCGGATGCAGTACTTGTTCCCTATGACCCCAAGCGGCCGTTGGTTTTGTGCTGCGACGCGTCGCCTGTCGGGGTAGGGGCCGTGCTGGCGCATAGGGCTGATGACGGAAAAGAGCAATCTATAGCATACGCCTCACGAACTCTCGGTGCTAGTGAACGCAACTATGCCCAGATTGACAAAGAAGGTTTAGCAGTCGTCTTTGGAGTGAAAAGATTTCACCAGTACCTGGCCGGAAGAGACTTTACCGTAGTAACGGATCATAAGCCGCTGTTGCGGTTGTTCAACACAGAAGCGGGTGCCAGAAGTGCTGTCGCCCAGGATGCTTCGCTGGATTTTGTTGTTAGGGGCGTATAATTATCGCATTCAGTACAGGCGGGGCGAAGACAACTCCAACGCTGATGCGCTTAGTCGTCTGCCAATCGTGGGAGACGAAGACGAGCCACAGCCACCGGGGGACGTGCTCCTGCTTGAAGCTGTCGAGTATGCTCCACTCCAGGCGGCAGACATCGCAAGGATGACCAAGGAAGACTGCATCTTATCCAAGGTCAAGGATTGGATCCTCAGTGGCTGGCCGTCGAGGCAACCGGACAATACGTTCGCGCCTTACGAGGTAAGGAAGTCCGAGTTGTCGTTGCATCGTGATTGCATACTGTGGGGAAACCGTGTGGTCATCCCGCAAGTGGCAAGAGAGAGGGTACTTCAGTTGCTGCATGCAAACCACCCGGGAATGAGTTCCATGAAAGCTTCAGCAAGAGGGCTTATGTGGTGGCCAAAGATGGACAGCCAGATTGAAGAATTTGTGCGGTACTGTCAGCCATGTGAAAGTAACCGCCAAAGCGACCCTAAGGCTCCAGTGCATTTCTGGGTCAAGCCAGATCAACCATGGAGTCGTCTACACATAGACTTCGCGGGGCCAGTCAAGGGAGAAGTGTTTCTAATTGTAGTTGATGCGTACAGCAACTGGGCAGAGGTAGAAATCATGCCATCAATGAAATCTTCAGCTGTCGTCACCAGCTTAAGGAAAATGTTTGCGACTCACGGGCATACCTCGGCATTCTCACTCATGAGTGCGATCACTCACGATCACTCACGCTCACCGTCAGATTTGAGGTGATCGTGAGTGAGGCCGCGAGTCTCGAAAAATTGTGAGCGTGAGTGTGAGTGGGATCGTGAGTTATATGAATTCATGAGTGTGAGTGTGAGTGTGATCGTAAGTTATGTGAACTCGTGAGTGTGAGTCCCGAGGGCTCATGAGCATGAGTCTGATTGTGAGTGTGATCGTGAGTACTGAGAACTCATGAGTGTGAGTGTGAGTGCGAGTCCTGCGAACACATGAGCGTGAGTTTGATCGTGAGTGTGATCGTGAGTTCTGAAAACCATTGAATGTGAGTTTGAGTTTAGAGAACTCATGAGTTTGAGTGTGAGTTCTGAAAACTGATGAGCGTGAGTTCTGAGGACTCATGAGTGTGAGTGTGAGCTTGAGTTCTAAGTGAAGTACTCATGAGCGTGAGTTTTGCGATCTCTTGAGTGAGATTGTGAGTTTCAAGGCTCATGAGCATGAGCCTGGTTCAAGACGTGAGTCCTACCGCTCATTCACACTGGAAGCGGATCCGCGTTCGCAAAGCGGTTGCGAACGCGGTCCAGTACAATTGCACGCGCACTTGATGTCATCCAGCGCGCGTGCAGTTGTACTGGATCTTTATACAACCGCGTTCGCAACCGCTTTGCGAACGCATATCCGCTTCCAGTGTGAATGAGCGGTTAGGGCAGATATGAGTCCGGTGGTTGCATTAGTCTGCCTGATGACGTGAGAGCTGCCGGGCCATCTTAGTGTGCGAGGAGACTCCCGCTTCGCAACTACTGTGTGGGGCACAGGGTTGGTTTGGATGTCGCTCGCCTGCTCCTCCGCCATGTAAGCGCGCTGGGTCCTGTGGAGGGTGGAGGAGGAAAGGGGGGGGGGGGTGCTTGCTCTTGCAGGCTCCTCCTTGCCAGCGCCCTCTGCAATGTGTCAACCCGCTGTGGAGGGCAGAGGGAGTATGGGGAAGGGGGGGGGGGGGGGGGGGTCGCGGTCGCTTTCGTCTCTCCTCGGCGTTCGCTCTCCGCTTCTCGGCAGACGGCGAGACGCCAACGGACTGACGGCGCCTCGAGGCGGTGCGGTAACGTCGTAGTTGGGGAAGCGCTCCAAACGGTTAGCGCTCCTCTCTCCGTGGCGTAGAAAGGCTCGTGTGGATTTCGGCTCCTGTTGCCAAGTTGGTGCCGGTGCGCATAGAATTTTATGATTGCGTCAACTACACCGTGTGAAGTGCGCACAAACTGGGGACCTTCCCCGAGAACAACTTTGGTGGATTATCCGTGACCGGACGTGGGGACACCGTGGCTAATCTTAATCCTCAGCGCGCCCTCCGTTCCAAGGAGACGAGGTATGGGGTCAAGGAGAGGGCTAACTTTCGGCTGTCTGGCGACGCGAGGCTTATTTTTGTCTGGCGCGTTTCCGCGCTTTTTGTGTTGCACGTGCGGATCATCTTCGACGGGTGGCGTCTCCGGGGACTGTAAAAATTGGTGACCCTGACGGGTTTAGAGGTTGGCGTCCGTCAAGGTTCCGGAAGGGGGAAAAGGCTCGAGAACGAGGAGGAGATGAAGAGCGTCACGGAGGTTCCGGAAGGGGAAAAAGGCTCGAGAACGAGGAGGAGATCAAGAGCGTCCCAATCGAGGCCTGCCCCGATTGCCAGGGAGGGAACGAAACGAAGGACTGAAAGGCATCGGCCGTCAGGGCTCGGCGACTGAAGCTTGTCCCGGGACGAACGTCGGCGAGCGACCTGCTGACAAGCAGCCACAGTCAGACCTCACCAGCCCGTGCCTGCTGACAAGGAGCCACAGCCAGACCTCACCAGCCCGTGCCTGCTGACAAGGAGCCACAGCCAGACCTCACCGGCCCGTGCCTGCTGACAAGCAGCCACAGCCCGACCTCACCAGCCCGTGCCGTGTGACAAGAGGCCACGACACGAGAGAATGACGTGCAACCTGCCAGGTTCCAAGCGCCGGCCCAAGCGGGTGAGCGGACACCTTACGTCCCCAGTCGGACAATAAACGTCCTAATTTAAATCCGAGTCTCGTGGCATTTCTTCTCCTCTCTACCCCAAAAGGGACCCCAAGGGTGGTGTAACCGCTACCTCCGGTAGCGATCATCACAACCGTTTGCAGGGCTGCGACAAAAATTAAGTGACTCGCATGATCCTCATCATCACCCAATCGAACAAACAATTTTACCGTTCGCACGGCTGCGACAAAATTAAGTGACTCGCATGATCCTCATCATCACCCAATCGAACAAACAATTTTATCTTTCCGCACACCTCACCGTACTTTTCGCACATGAGTTAACACTCAAAAAGTGCAACGAAGGCGGTGTCATGATAGATCAAAGCTTTTAGTGAGGTGCTTTACATTGTGCGATATCGTGCTTTTATGTGTCGTTCGGGGCAAGATAGCACAAGCGCAGGATATCCAGCCAGCAATGGCCAGGCGGAGCCACGAGAGTGCTGCATTCAGCTCCACAAGCGGAGGTGCCTCTGTTAATGGGGCGGCCAGTCTGCCCGTCAGGCCGCGGCGAGCGGCGGCGACCCTAATTTCAGCAGTTCCTGTGTGCACGTGCGCGCCATGTCCCTGTTTATTTTATGTTTGGAGCATATTCTAGAGTTGTCATTTGAACACCAGTTTGAGTTGTCTTCACCACTTGT